TGGTCTGCAGCTTTCTTTTCTGTGTGTTCATGTCATGTGTTAGAGTAATACTGACTTCATAAAATTAGTTTGGAAGGATTTTCTCCTCTTCATGGATGTTTGGTGGAATTCAGAAGTGTAGCCGTCTGCTTCTGTCTTCCTCTTCGATGGAGTCTTATTATTATTTCAATATTGTTACACAGCATTGGCCTTTGCAGTTTTCATTTCTTAATGCTTGAATATTGCTAAGGTGTATATGTCCATTTGTATCTCTAATTTGTTGGTATGTAGTTGCCCATAATAGTCTGTGATCATCCATTATATTTCTGTGGTATCAGTTGCAATATATATATTTTTTTCACATTTGATTTTATTTGAATCTTCCATTTCTCTTTCATAATTATTCTAGATAAGAATTTGTTAGTTTTTCTCTTCAAAGAATTAGCTCTTCATTTCCTTTGTCCCCCTTGTTTTGTAATCAGAGCTTCAGGGCAAAAGACTCAGCTCAGATCACAAAATAAAAGACCAATAAAATATCGGCAATAATATAAGCTTGACGATCTAATGTTTCAATTAAGAGAGAGGAGGTTTAGCAATGCACACTGGGAAAAGGAACGGATAAGGAGATGCAATCATTACAAGCCCATTCTGGTTACTGACATGAGGTTTAGGTTCAAATAGAGAAAACATTGTGAAAGAGGGGCATGGTGTATGCATAAATATCCATTCCTGCTCAAGGTACTGTCTGGGTATGCTTAGTCTTTATCCCAGTTTGGTCCTGTAAGAGGTTCTGTTACTGCTGTAATCACTTGAGGAACTTGATTTGGTCCCCATTAGTCGGCTACTTCTGCTCTAGAGTGTAGCCTTGCCATCAGAGATAACTATCTTCATTTGGGTGATGGTATGTCCTGTGATGCTATGAGGTCCAGTTTCTGGAATCTAAGGTGACTGCAGCTGAATAAATGGCTCTTGTTTTCTTACTTTCTGAGTGGAACGGGAATGAGACATGTTAGACAGTCAGACACTCCTTGAGGGATTATCCTGTTTATGATGCAGGACAAAGTAAAGAGACAGGCACAAAATGAAGGCAGATGTTGGCCTTTCATCCTGCTGTTAGTCATTTTTTGAACTCAAATGAAGAATCAATGTTTCTTAGTAAATGGAACGTTAAGTATCTGTTACAATTTTTATCTAAGTTTTCCTTATCCTTGCTATAATGCTTATTAATTCTGTCCTCTTTGTTTGAAGTTTGGTTTGTTGACATATTTTTATTTATTAGGTTATTTATTTGAATATTGAAAATTTAAATTATTTTTATTTTGTGCATTTGAGTGTTTTGCCTACGTGCATGGCATGTACCGTGTGCATGCAATTCCTGTGGAGGCCAGAGAGTTTTTTAATTCTTCTGTATTTGTATGATTTCCAAAGATTTTGCTATTTTTCAGTGCTGGTTTTATTGTATTATAGTCTGAAAAGGCAGTAGATAGCATTATAATTTTTTAAATGATATGGTTAAAAAAATTAATGTATATAGCTCTTGTGATGTTTTTTTCTTAGACCAAACTGGAGTGTGTTTGCGCCTTTTCCCATTGTCTGCCAAAAATTATTGAAAAACAAAACAAAACAAAACTTAAGGAAGGAATTATTTACTTTGGCTCATGGTTACAGAGACCAGTCCATCAGAGTGTGGCAGGGAAGGCATGGTGGCTAGAGTGGGTCATGCTCTGGTTGCAGGAGTATGAGGCAGCTAGTCTTATCGTCTGTAGTCATGAAGCAGACAGATGTACATTGTGCTGCTCTGTCTTTTCCTTTTTTACTCAATTTAGGATGCTAGTCCATGGGATGGTGCCACTCACATTCAGTGCTGAGTCTTCCTCTGAAGTGACCTTCTCCCTTGAAATATGCTAAGAGGCATGCCACCTAGGTGATGCTAAATGTAGTCAAATTGATAAGATTAGCCATCACATTCAGGAAGGGGGAATTTGAATTTAGTAAGAACAGGGATAGTTTTAAGGGTCAAACTATAAAAATGCCCTTTCAGTAATATCTGAAGGGCCTTCATTTATAAAATTTCATTATATTTTAGAAAAATGCATCTTTCAAATTTTGGAAATTATATTTAAATTATTTTTATTTTATATGTATGAGTGTATTGCTTGCATGTAGAAGGTGTACCTCTGTCATATAGGTAGGTGCACCTATGTCATGTAGTAGGTACACCTGTGTATGTAGTAGGTGTACCTGTGTCATGTAGTAGGTGTACCTGTGTCATGTAGTAGGTGTACCTGTGTCATGTAGTAGGTGTACCTGTGTCATGTAGTAGGTGTACCTGTGTCATGTAGTAGGTGTACCTGTGTCATGTAGTAGGTGTACCTGTGTCATGTAGTAGGTGTACCTGTGTCATGTAGTAGGTGTACCTGTGTCATGTAGTAGGTGTACCTGTGTCATGTAGTAGGTGTACCTGTGTCATGTAGTAGGTGTACCTGTGTCATGTAGTAGGTGTACCTGTGTCATGTAGTAGGTGTACCTGTGTCATGTAGTAGGTGTACCTGTGTCATGTAGTAGGTGTACCTGTGTCATGTAGTAGGTGTACCTGTGTCATGTAGTAGGTGTACCTGTGTCATGTAGTAGGTGTACCTGTGTCATGTAGTAGGTGTACCTGTGTCATGTAGTAGGTGTACCTGTGTCATGTAGTAGGTGTACCTGTGTCATGTAGTAGGTGTACCTGTGTCATGTAGTAGGTGTACCTGTGTCATGTAGTAGGTGTACCTGTGTCATGTAGTAGGTGTACCTGTGTCATGTAGTAGGTGTACCTGTGTCATGTAGTAGGTGTACCTGTGTCATGTAGTAGGTGTACCTGTGTCATGCAGTAGGTATACCTGTGTCATGCAATGCCTACAGAGGGTAGAAGTGGGCATCGGACCCCCCAGAAATGGAGTTACAGACAGTTGATATCTGGCATGTGGGTGATGGGGAATCGAACCTGGGTCCTCTGAAAGAGCAGCCTGGGACCTATTTTTATGACTAGCTGGGTGATAGCTGAGAAATATTCTGCAAATGTAAACTCAATCCATAACCAAGTATCTGTATAATTGTCAGGGTCATTTCATAAGGCTCTAGTTTTTACCATGTAGTTATTAGGGAAGTGAACTCATCACTTGTTATTTATAAGATAAAGCTTGTGATTAAGAGTTTATATTTCTCAAATATTTATGAAGGACAAAGGCCTGTTGTGTTCTGTGTTTGCAGTCATATTCTATTTCATGTGGCAAAGCTCTTAGGATCCATTTGAGTGAAAAATACTGTGTCTACTCATTTTGTATTGTGCTGTGGCAAACAACATAATCTACAGGGTTTCTATTCATTTTGGAATTCATTTCACAGTCCACTAATTGTGTGATTGAGAAAAGGAAATACACGCTTTTCTTCTAAAGCATGCAGAACAGATGGCTCAAAGTTCACTGCTGACAGCCCTGCCTCGAGACCTGATTCTTTAGGTATTGGGTCAGCTATACATCCCTCAAAAAGAGTGTAAAGGTCTTAATAACACAGGCACTGAATCCCTGATTGATTATGACTTATAAACATTTTAATTTTTATCATTGACTCACCAAGTGCCTGATCATTTGAGCAAGTGAAGAACAGTGGACTTCAAACTTGTTTTACTTGAGAAGCCAAATGAACTTTATTGCTATGGAAATTTTGAGCAAAGAAAGCAGCATAAGGGGTTAAGTTTAGTTTCTTGAAAATATATTAATGCATATTTTGATATTAATACTGCTGCATTATGCATCATGACTGATATTTGGATATTTGAAAAACAGAGCCAAGGAAAAGATCTGGGACTGTATCTTTAAGCATTTTTCAGTAATTTCTTTTGGGGAGAAATTTTCTTTCCATCTTTACATGGGAATTATTCACTTACTTATATGAGATATACAATCATCCCAAATGCCACCGATTTCATCCAGTGTGCTTGTATGCATGTACTGAGACGACAAACACTGGGAGAATGAGAAAGTGAAATAGTGAACACATTTCCAAGCTGCAACAGGAATATCAGCACTTCAGGAAAGAAAGTCTAGGTGTGTCTGTGTCTAATGTCCTAAATGAGTTGATGCAATAATTTGGTGTCAGTATCTTATCCAAGAAAACTACAAGATCCTGATGAAACTGTTTTATCTTCCATATAAAGAGTAACTGGCACAAGTATTTCTACTATCCTATTTTTCTTTCTCAAGTGCCTTCCCCAGTGTCACATGTGAGTGAATATGTCTGTCTCTTGGCTTTCAGACTGATGCCGCTCTAATGTATGATGCAGTGCACGTTGTATCAGTGGCTGTTCAACAGTTTCCCCAGATGACAGTCAGTTCCTTGCAGTGTAATCGACACAAACCCTGGCGCTTCGGGACCCGCTTCATGAGCCTAATTAAAGAGGTAGGTCAGGGGAAGGACTCCACCTAGGTTTCTCATCAACGGAATAAAGCCATTGCACTTCTAGCAGGTGACTTTATCTTTTAACTGAAATTTTGTTCCTTCTCCCAAACAAGCAAAATTAACATTTTTACTAAATAATATGAAATAAAATTAGTTATTTCCATCATAAATAAATGGAATATCCATCAACATGTCTATGATGATGTAAACACATAAAAGCCTATATGATCCATGAAAACATTAGCTTTAACTTTGGAAATCTATTTGTCTGAATTTTTACTTAGGAAGAGATATGGAGAGACAAACTGATTATATTTTAGGCCATAAAATATGATGTGCATTTTTAGCATGAATTTCAATTAAACTATATTAAAATATATATAATATGTGAAGTACAGTTATTTTGAATTTGGATTTAAAATATAATTATTTTATTCATATTAACAATCAATATATAAAATGTATATATGAGGGTTGAGAATGTAGTTCAGTTGTATACTACTTGCCTAGCATATATGAAGCCCAAGAGCCATTTCTATCACCTCAAAACACAAAAATAAAAGGACTAGATAGATTCGTAAAAGTACAAAATTTACTTCATATTGTTTAATGGAATTGTGCTTATAATGATTTATCATTTCTGTTGCAATGGTAAAAAAAGAAGTATAAAGTCTTCAGCTACATATATGTGTACATGCATATTTTTTCTTTCAACTCTTCCTGTTCTTCCTATGAAGGAAAGCCATTTTTCAGCTTAGCACAATTTTCTTGATAAAGTATACCTGAGCCTTAACCTTAGCTATGAACACTGTGACAGGTATTGAAGTAAACAATGATAGGTAAAGATTTTTTCATTATTGCCTTATAATCAGTTTTTAAATAATTAATTACTCATGAAATATAAGTGATTATGAATTTCAAGGTCATTGGAAAAGAATGTGTATGTATATTCATTGTCTGATTTTTTACCAAATTTTCAAATAGAGGAATTAATTTTCCCTGAAGACTGTGATGTTTATTAGTTGTACCACATTCTACTTCATATTTAGAATACTCTTCCCTTGCAGAGCTATGTACAAGATCGGTTTGAGTAGTCGAAGAACTGATTTTTCTGAACTCAGTACTTGAGCATTGAGACCATGCCATGTATAGGGTTAGCCCTGAAAAAAGCAGCTATATGACATCCCTCCACTGTATTTATTGTAGGGGGTCGTTGAGAACCTTGTCCGCTACATCAGCGTATGCCCTTTAAGAGCATCAACAGGAGAATTTCTGTTCTGGTCTCAGTACCAGGAAAAGAAGTTGAGGAAAATATTTTTTTTTCCTAAAGCATATTTAAATTTGCTAAAGATTATATTACAAAATGATACATATAATCACAATGCTTTCTATATCATTTATAATTTATTAGCATAAAATTATTTTGGAATGCCATACAGTAGTGTCTGAGAAACAAATACAGATACTCAGAAATGCTATAGTGATGACATCCATTAACATTCATTATTAAAGTATTATCCTTAATTTTTAATAAATCACTTCTTTGGGGCCTTTGTGTTCATTATTTTAGATTATACATACGTGTATTCATACTTCATCATCTGAAATTTTAAAGGAACTACTTTTTCCAAGCTATTTCCAAATTCTGAATAATGAAAAGCATCTAAATTTGGCTGTATAACCCACAGAATGGGAAAATGTTTTATATTTAAAAGTTTATACATTTACTCACTTTAGATGGGTGAGCACATTATCTTATGTTGTTGTAACCCTACCTCATTCATCACGAACACTTCCTTTAAAGGCAATACAGATCGACATAAAATAATTACAATACATTCTTCCGTCTTCCTCGGGAAAAAGTAAAGTATTGAGTTGATTATTATGTAACTCAAGAAGTGTAACAAGCTTTCTCAGAATCAGCCCCATGCACTGTAATAGGTTTCTTTCCATATTTTATAAATTTAGTGAATGGCATTTGATGTTAATTATTAGGTAAGACCCAATGAGATAATCAATTTCTCATATATCATAATTTACTAAATTCGTTCTTTGTTAAAAAGCATTCAGCATGTAAAACGTAACTGTTCAACTTCTCTAAGGAAAAAAGCTGATACTTGAAAAATTATTATAATAGACTGAAAATAATTTACATTTCATTCTGAAACTAGGGCGTTATTTATGGGGAAAGACTTTAAATTTCAGAAGAAAAAATACTTTAAAATAAAATCCAATGTATATGTATGACAAGTAACAAAAGTAATTTTGCTTATGTTTTTGGAAATTTTTCTTACCTCTTATTTCTTTACTTGTTAATCTATGGATATCTGTTTTTTACCTAGGCTCACTGGGAAGGCCTCACAGGTAGAATAACTTTCAACAAAACCAATGGGTTACGAACAGATTTTGATTTGGATGTGATCAGTCTCAAGGAGGAAGGCCTGGAGAAGGTATTGAATTGTTCATGTATGTTTATTTGTTAAATGAAGAATATGATAAGAAAAAGAAGTAATTCTTGTTACAATCACATTTCATGTACATTCAACTTAATTAAGCTGCACATGATTCTTCAAATTATTATATTAAATATAACAATCGACAACTAAGATTTAAGGATAAATATTTCTTATAAGAGCAAATATTTTATTTTCTTTTGAGGATTTTCTGAAATATACATAATATTAGTTTCACATGCAATAAGGATTAATTGTACAATATTTTATTAGTATTAATATTTATTA